GGGGGCTTCACTTCATTGTAATTTGTACATACATTGTGCCAATCATCTCAGAGGATTTAGTCAAAAAGTGCTTTGATGAGGCGACTAATGTGATCACAGTGGCTGGGCCGAGAAAAGGTCATGGAAGGCAGAAATGAACATATCGCACTGTTTTGTAAGGCATGTCATATCACCTTCATTGCTCTTGGCTACAGTTAAGCAGCATCTTTGAAGCCTCTGTGTAAATCAGTGCCAACCTGTCGGCATCTTTAGCTTCACTGGTAGTCGAAACTGTAAACAAAATGTTGTCAGTATAAATGTCTTGTTCTTTCACTGCTGTGCTTCTCTTCTGTCTAATGTTGCATTTTTAGCAGCACATTTTCTATTGTCTAGGAGTAGTACACAAAAGCTGCAAGCTCCTGGATGGTAACGTGTGTTGGTGCCAAATTACACTTTTAATTCAATTTTTCATTAGCATCGCTTTTAAACAAAATGTTGAATTTCATGAAGATTGTTCTCATTCATTCCATTACTTTTCATTTTGATTTTAATGGTAAAGTCAGCGACAAGTGTCTTTGTCATAATCCTGAAATAAACTCTGAAAATATAGGTGACCTTCTTGGTTTTCAGTTAAGAGTCCACCTGACTCATTTCTTCATCGTTGCTCTGCTCTCCTCCCACATTTATTTAGAGCAGCAGCTTTGGTCCTCTGCCATGTGATATGCCAAGAAATCTTGCTCAATATAGAGCGAACATGAGTAGCAGTATTAATAAGCCTTTTTCACAGAAGACATTTAGATGTGTCACAGTTGGAAAAGCACAAGCGTAACTAATTAATTCTATTTAACTATTTCAGTTTCAAGGTCTTGCTGTGCTGGCACTGTTACAGCTTACTGGGACACATGAATAGCAAGAGCTATTAATGCTTTTAGTAAAATCTCAGCTTCACTTTGACATGTCAAAATATCTGCTGTGAACAAAGACTAGTAAAACACATGAAAGAAGTCAATACTGGTATTTAGAAGTGGTATAAGATTTTTAAACTCTATTTATACACATGTAATCGGTCCAATTCTGTTTGTGATATGTTTTTAGACCATAATATAAAAGTGGTCACTGCTGCTGTCCTTTAGAGGACAAACTCAGTACATATACTCTGTTTATATAGAAAATGTATGTTAGACATTCTGCTTGTTACTTATAGGCCACATAAACATGAAACTGATTTATCCATCAGGCTCTACTGTATCGAACCATTGTTTATTTATACAACGGCAGATGAGGTGCAATATTGGCATTCATTTTGTCATGTTTGTGTCCACCTTTTAGTGCAAGTCCAACATTCATTGTCTTTTGTCTCTTTGTCATCTCCTGAGGGAAGCTGCAGTATCTGGTTCTTCAGCGTAAACCAGCTCATTGACTTTAAAGTTAACAGTACGTGACTGAAGTTAGATGTTCTGTATGTCCTAGTGTGTGAAAATGTCTTATTTAAGAAAAAATGAGAAGCAGGCTCCTGTCTGATATTCAATGAAATGAATTCCACGCCTTTATTTCAAAATCCTCACTTAAGGCATTTATGAGACACTGCATATGGACAAAACTGGACAGTTGGGGATGTCGGTGCTAATCAGTGCGTTCAATGCTCTATGGTGTCATGGCAAATAGGCAACCTGAAAAATGGCTCATTTGCATAAAATAGTAGTTCAGAGTACATTTAAATCATAAACCCCATTATTTTTCCCATGGTAACTAGATTACATGTTCAAAATAATACCAAATTTCTATATAATACAGTATGCATTTCTAGCCATGTATTACATTCACATTAGGAAAATAATCACACACATGCCAACACAAAACAACAACAAAAAAAAACACACTAGAATTAAGTCATTAGCAGTAAACGGTAACCAAAAGAACAGCGATTCAACATTCTGCCTCAGACACATCCCTAAATGAACCAATAAAAATGTAGAGGTTAGCGATATGCCGCAAGTCTAGAGTTGACGTCAGAGGTTTACATAAACCTTAGCCAGATACATTTAAACTCAGTTTTTCACAACTCCTGACTTTTACTCCTGTAAACATTGTGTCTTTCGTCACTTTGACAGGATTTATGTTCCGCTTTTCCTCCTCCAAAAGCAGTTCATTGTAATTACATTCTGTAATTCTCTTGATATAGTGTAGTTTTCTCTGTTAGTGGCGGGGTCTGGATTCAGATCGACTGCCAGGGGACAATGCAGCACGTTAATATTAGCCTCACTGTTTGATGTTCTTCGCTAATGCCGTATCAGAGCACAAGTACTTGTGTCATGCATAAAGTACACATCCCAACGACTTGTCAAAATGAGAGTTTGTTGACATGACATTTGTGGAGTGGTTAAAAAAAAATCTGTTTTAATGACCTCAGCCTACGTGTATGTAAACTTCTGACTTCAGCTGTATGTGTGTATCAACATGCTTGTCTTGAATCTCATAAGAGGCCAGCCAATTTTTTTTTCTCCCCACAACGTACTTTTAAAACTTCCAAATACACCTGTGTGTGTGTGTGTGTGTGTGTGTGTGTGTGTGTACGACTGTGCTTTTTCTATGAATTCAAAACGAACGAAAAAACTTGCATGTAATTTTAGTGTTACATTAAGTTATTTTAGTAATGCAAATCTCATTTTCTAATCCTCTGTGATCAGCAAAAATGACAATACAATTAAATTAAAAACACTGGAGCTTAATTAGGTTAATACAACCTAAATAAATTAATAGTTTCTCAAGTGTAAAACAATTCAAGTACTATTAAATAGCACTTTGCTAGTAGTATGTACATTAAATTTATCTGAAGGTGGGCCATCACCAGGGCAGAGAGCAGCACAATATTGGCCCTTACAAGGACCCATATTTACTTAAAGCTGCACTCTATAGTGTTTGGGAAATGCAACTTAGTAAAAAGCAGCACATATTTAGAATCAAATTTACTGTTTCATTTAGCTCATGATTCAAAGATAAATCGGTATCTCTGTCCTGTAAATGTGACAAGAGAGTGGAAACAAATCAGTGACATTCAAGGTATTTCATTAGATTTTTGGTATAAAATAAAATTACATGATACACCATTTAATCAACTGGAAAAAAAATTCTCCTTTTATAAAAACTACACAGTGCAGCTCTAACAGTTTAGGCAGATATGTGCATGTGTCCCATGGACCGATGAGCATTTGTTTGTGTTCTCTGAACCAGACGTGTTGTAGTGTGTGAGGGAAATGTTATAATTAGACCAATGTAGTGTAACGTAAAGGACAAGACAGTGAAAGGACTTCAACAGTAGAGACGGTCCATAAGTAGCGGAGTAGGAGATGAATTCCACATCCACCTTCCTCAATCCAAATGGCATCAAAATGTTTCATAAATGTGCAAGATTCTGAACAATGAACAATTAGCAGCCTCTGACAAAACACTAGACACTGGCACAATATAAAGGCTCTGTGAATATCAAAAAACAAAACAAATTGCTGGTAGCTTAGATCTGCTGAGTAACATTTTATACAATCTCCAGTTTATAACATGAGTGTATTGTCTGACCTCCCTCCCGAGACACATACTGGATATCCACCCCCGTTTCTTTCCTTTGTGTTTGAACTCCAACTCCCATCCCTTTCCTTACTTCCTCCTCTTCATCATTGCCAGTCATCGGAGCCTTGACCCAGCCGTCTGTGGCCAGGCCGTGTTTCTTCTGGTGTCTCTTGTAATTGTCCCAGTGACCAGTAGTGTAGCCGCACTCCTGACATTTGTACGGCTTCTCTCCAGTGTGTCGAAGCATGTGCCGCTTCAGGTTCATGCTCTGGTTGCAGCTGTAACTACACACGGCGCACTGGAAGGGTTTGGCACCCGAGTGCACCCGCTGGTGGCGCTTCAGGTTGGCCAGGTTCCCGCAGGCATAATCGCACAAATGGCACTTGTAAGGTTTCTCGCCTGTGTGCACTCTGTGGTGGCGCTTGAGGTTGTCAAAGTGCGCTGAGGCATAGTTGCACTGTGGGCACTTGTACGGTTTCTCGCCACTGTGGGTTTTCATGTGGCGAGCCAAGTGGTTTGGGTAGTGTGTGAGGAACGGGCAGGAGGCACAGGTGTACACCTTGTCACTGCGTTCGCTGGGGCTGTTAGGAGATGAGGAGTCTTTAGTTAGCATTTCAAGGGTACACTTGGCACAAATCTGGGCTGAGGAGCCATCCTCATCCTCCAGGACAATGCCACACAACCGGCAGGTAAAAGGGTAAAGCGAAGGGGGGAGGGGGGCACTGTCAGCTACACTGCCTCTGGTCGCATTACTGCCGCCGCTGCCTGTGGTCTCCGTCAGTGGTTTGAGCTGCTGCTCAGGAGCTGGGTTAGAGGTTGGTATGGGTGGCGGTGATGCTGCCTTTAAGCCGTCGAAGGCTGCTAGGTAGTCGCTGTTGTGTGCTCCCAAACTCAGGCTTGACATTGGCCTTGCAACCTCTAGAACTTCACAGAAAGGTGAACTATTATATACAAGATGTCTGATTATGATTGATTTAAGAATGAAATGGAGGACAGACAAGTCATTTATAAAAGTATACATACCCTTGCCTAAAGCACCAGGTTCTTCCCCACTGGGTCTCTTCAGGCTGCTGTGGGCACTAGCCAGTTGTGGCAGGGCATCCTGTCTTGCGCATGCAGTGGGCACATGCATCCGCTGGTGCCTCTTCAGATTGCCAAGGGAACTGCAGGCAAAACTGCAGTTGTCACATTTGTACGGTTTCTCCCCGGTGTGTATGCGCAGGTGTCTCTGCAGGTTCACCAGCTGGGCTGAGGCATAAGTACACAAGGGGCAGTTAAAGGGCTTTTCCCCGTTGTGCGTCTTCATGTGACGTTTCACGTGGTTGGCGTAACGTGAGGAGAAGCCACAGAGGTGACATGAGTGCAATTTTGGTGATTTGTCCTCGGCTGTCACTGTTTTGTCACCCATCCCATTTCCCACCCCTGCGCCATCAAGCTGTGAATGGGAGTCTGAGCGAATCCCGCTGATGCCTCCAAAAGGTGAACAGAAATCAGGACTTTTGGTTTCCCTGGAGGCTTTACAGCACCTAAGGCAATATGGACCAAAAAGGTCTATGCCAGGTCCCAGAGGCTCATCACGGAGCTGTCCGCAGCCCCTGCAGGACAGGTAGGGAGGGAAACTGGGCTCAGATTGAGATGCTCTGCCCTCGTCTTCCCTCCCGTTTTCAGTTGCGCTGCGAGAGTTGTCTGCTTCACTTTCCATGCTGAGCTGGCTGTAGGTAGGACTCTCCTCATCACCCAGAGGATACACAGAGAAACCAATCTCAGCAGCTACCTCTGTGTAGGGACAACAAACAACATTTTTTTGCAAAAAAAACAACAAAGAGACATTTCACTCGCAGTCGGTGACAAACGTAATTTCTGTACTATTATTCACTAAATCTACTAGAGTGTGGATACCCGAACCGAGCCAGATAGGACCTGTCAGTACTTGAGGGTTTGGTCAAAAATGTATAAATTATCTCCGTCGCATTCTGACAAGTAGGTCAAACTTTAGGCTAGACAGCTGGAGCACTCAAATGTCTGCTTCAGTATCTCGGGGTCTTCTTCACAGCCTGATCCATGCTCTAAAACCTACATGATTCATTTGTGAAACTTTCCTCTGTGTGTATTATACATCACATAGCCTTTATCAACCGGGTAACCTCATTGAGATCAAGATCTCTTATGGAAGAAAGAACAGTACAGCACAAGACGTATGTAAATAGAAAAAAGAAGCATCAGTCACTGACATCTCTTATTACTTGGCCCCCAACAATAGCTGTAATGGCAGAAAAAAAAAACTTGTACTAAAGGAATCACATTCTGTATTGCTGAGTTTTACTGGGATACTCTGAACCTCCATACAAAAATTAAGATCTCTGCTATGAGACATGGCTGAAAGTGAGACACTCATACACTTCAAACAGAACCTTCTAGAAAAATCTGAGCAACTCAAATAAGTAACTGAAAATGCTACTTAAATTTACCACAATGAGTTAGATAACTTCAGGATAGCAACAGTCACCCTTCTTTGAAAATAAGTTCTAAGAGTACATTTCTGAAAAACAAACATTTGTTACTCACAGTTCTACCAGCAACGTCAACAGCGTTTTAACTGTTGTTACACAATTTGAGGCTTTCTAACAACAACACGAAGAAAATCCTGTTTCCCAGAAGGCAGAAAGAAAAGCTTCACAAGAGCGTTAAGACATTTAAACTTCGAGACTCGGCGCTGTCAGGCTTCAGTCGGTGCTCCTGAAAGCAAACAAGCCAGAAGAAGCCCACCTCCTTCACAGATGCCGAGGCAGGATGTGAGGAAGACAAGAATTGAAACTGCCCTTTTATCCTGCCCCATGGAAACCCTCGTGGATGATTACCGAGCCTAATGATAATGATGATGACTATAATGGTGAGGCTGCTGCTGCTGGTGATGATGATGAGGGGGAATAATGGCATTGGAGTTGTGGGAGCGGAGGGAGCAGGATGATGATGATGATGATGATGATGATGATGATGATGATGATGATCATGATCATCATCATCATCATCATCATGAATAAATGCCCTGTTATAATGGTGTCCTTGATGGTAATGGTCCTATTTTTATGACCGTTATATAATAATGGTGTCTCAACTCCTTTCTCTACTTTCCCATTTTTCAGCTCACTCTCTCTGACAAACAGCCACGTTGGGAAATATGTGCTGGTAGTTCCATTTCTCTTATTGATGCACAGAAATGCTACCCTAATCATTGAGAAACAAACGGTAAACACCTAAAAGTACATTCTGTAGTGCAACCACTTCATTAAAAAAAAGAATTTACATCTTTGATTCCTAACATGTTTTCATGGTAATGACAGGAAGTGAAAATGAAGGTTAACACAAACATAATGACACCATTGTTCTTCCTGAGCAAACGTAGTTGAAACTGTTCACTAAACAGAAATTTACTATAATGACCAGGCCATAATGTGTAATCAATAGACATATTCACCATATATTGCAAGTCTATGATTAAATACTCTAACAGAAAATACATGCAGCAACATTTGAAAACAGTGAGGCACTAACAGTGAAACTCTTGGACTGACACAGTATAAAAACAGTTTCCATTCAGTCAAATGCCCCCTCTATACTATGTCTGTTCAGTTTTTTTTTATATCTCCAATAGAAATTCACTGTAATTACCTTTTATAATTCTTTCTCTATATTGTAGTTTTCTCTGTTAGTGGCAGGGTCTGTCAGAACCAGCTAGATTCAGATTGACTGCCAGGAAACAATGCGGCCTGTAGCATTTAGCATTGCTGTTTTGTAGTTATATCATGTTAATATTAGCCTCATTGTTTGACGTTCATCACTAATCCTGTATCAGGGCTGTATTACGGTAAGTTAATGCAAAAACCAACCAAATGTTTCCTGCTGCTGCTTCATGTCAACTTTTCCAGTTGAACTTCATTGCTCAACTGGACAAACGTGATGGCCTTTACTGTAGTCTATACCAAACAAGACCTGATTGTGCTTGACAATTTTTGTCAGCACGGCAGTTATTATTTATGAAGGAGCAGCCACAGTGAGCTGGGTGATGAAGAGCTGAAATCTTACACATTATAACTTCAAACTCTGGATTATTAAAAAGATGGATTACCAACCTGAGAACCTTTCCAGGCCTAAAATCTTGTCGTCATGATCAGGATCACCAAACTCAAGCTCTTGCCCAAGAAGGAAGTCTGTGTCTAAGGGGAGGTTTCCTGGAGCTTCAGTGGCTACACCATCTTCAGAATCCACTACAGTGATATCAGGAAACCAACACATGGCTATAATGTTATTTGTTTAACTGTGGCTATAAAAGTTAAAAAGTCAAACAATCTACTGTTGGAAGAAATTTTAATTTGCTGCTTTAACAGCAATTTATAAACAAAAAATGAACTGCTAAGTGACAGATGGAGTTCTCTTACTGCAGGTACAGCTAATGAAGCCTGAAATACAAATGTAGTTGCTCAAGCTTGATGGAATCCAAACAATTATCACAAAGCTGATGCAGAAAACCACTTTAAGGCCAATTCAAGGATGCCACGCTTGGCGGCCCTTTTTGGCAAATCCTTGAATACCAGCCTCATGCTACCATCTGCTGGTCATTTCAGTGTTAGACATAATGGCAATAATACAGTATCGCGAGCATGCAGGGTGTTGATAAATAGACCCAGATCACCAGATTAGATTAAACGATCTTATTTGATAGGTTCAACGATTACAGTACAATTTTGCTTTTATATACTCGGACAAGGAAATAGAAAGAAATTTCTTAAATAAGTATTATTTCTGATAGGATAATACTTGTTGCTAATACATTCTGGTGGTGAGTGAATATAAAGTTGTTCCTTCAGTTAATGAAAGCCAAGAAGAAGGGCCGTATACAGCGCAAAGAGATGAATAATGGTGTACAGTAGCCCAGCTATACTTTGACCTATCCTCTCTAAGAAAAACCTATGAATACTTACACTTAACTGGCTGTGGATTCTGTTGTTTTTTTCTTGGCATCTTCCACCCAGCCTCTCTCTGTTTTGCAATGTCTTCTTGCAGACTTCCACAACCATCAGCTCATTCTGATGTGTTTCAAAGATGTTCTTCAGTATTTCTAAATGCAAGAAGAAGCATCTTGAGGTGTGACATAATGCATTTACAGACCCTAATGAACATCAATAGGATGCCACAGCTCATTTTAATTAAATGACGAGCAGGCTGCAGCTAGTGATCCTGTTTTAAAATCAGTATGCTGATTATTTTTTGTGATTAATAGCACAGTTGTTTGGTTTAACAAAATTAAGTTTAAAAAAGTGCATCACAATTTTCACAGGTGATCTTCAAACTGTTCGTTTGGCCAACCAAATAAAACCCATATAGATATTTTACTATTCCAGAAGACTAACAAACCAGCAAATAACGTGAGAACCCAGCAAGTTAATTTGTTGCATTTTTCTTAAAAAAAAAAAGACTCAAGTGATAAATTGGTTACTAAAATTGCTGCTGATCAATTTACTGTTGCTCAACTAAGCAATTAATCAACAATCAGCTCTTTAGTCTACAAAGAGAATAGGCTCTCACATATTTAAGTTACCATTATCAATCACCATGCAGTTTAGGTTGATTGGTGTCTCTAAATTGCCCATAGGAGTGCGTGTGTGTGGTTGTTCGTCTATGTGTTAGCTTCAGCTGTACTTGGCGATGGATTGGCGACCTGTCCTGGGTGTACCCCGCCTTCGCCCGATTGCCGGCCGGGATTGGCTCCCCCCCGTGACCCGTTCAGGGACTAAGCGGTAGAAAATGAATGAATATCAATCACCTGCTTGTAACTGAATTTGAAGCTGGACCACAGAGCTAATTAGTTCATAGCAAACGGTGACACTGCTCATAAACCGTGCACAATAGACAGCTATCTTGGTCATTTTAGGTAGCTGCTTCACGTCTGTTAAGCCTTGTATTTACATAAAACCGGTGAATATAAATGCTATGCATAATGAAGCCAGTCACTACCGTGTCTTACAGCGGCGGTCTTTATCACTGTCAGCAAATCTACTGTGTCCTAATGAAGCCAATTGGATATTACACAGTATAATTAACATGCTATAACCTAACAGTTTATTCTAATATACTAACATGAAAAAATGTAACTTAAATAAAACCCATATAAAGGTAACTAGCATTACAGGACATAGGTGCCAATTGAGTGTGTGACCTGGTATATTTACACTAAACAAACCTGAAAGCCTCTGTTAAACAGCTAACAAGCAGGCACTTTAGCAAAACGGCTAACATATTAGCTGGGGTGTCCGATAAAACAATCAAGCGAGTAAGCTAGAATCATGTTCTAACATAGCATATCGTACAGCTAGCTAATGTTATCACTCTACAACATGAGATGTCAGCAAAATCAGGGAAAATTAACAGCACACACCCTAATGAGTGGCTAATCAAGATGCCTCATCATCAGCATGTAGTAATGACTGATAAGTGCCATCTTCAGTAAAATTAGCCATGGCTAAATTAGCCGAGCAGCTAATGTCAACTTCATTTGTTAGCTATCATGCTAACTTACCTAAAAGACGTAAATATTCCTGTCGACTGAGATCACTGTAATTATCGGTATCCACGCCATTAGGTGTGAAGTGTTTTCCCTCAGATGTACAATGTCTGAAGATCCGCCATTTCTTCATGGGCTGCGGTGACAAAGAAAGGCAATTAATGGTATTTTTCATAACTTAATTGATTTCCAGATTCGCCTGTAATTTAGCAACCGCAACAACAATCAGTTTTCCGGCCCGTGTCCTTCAGAATAAAAGCGACATCGCCACCAATTAAAAACCGCACACATTATTCAGTTATTACTTGGTGAATGATACTATCTTTTTACAGAGTCATTTAAACTGTTTATGTGTCAGAATATACTTACACTGTAAACTACAATAATAAATTCAAATATTATTCATTTATTTTATGTTTAGTGCCATTGGCCTATTTGTTTTATTTGTCTAAAAATAAATCTATGAAAAAAGCTAGCAAAGGTACAGAAAAAGACTTTTTAGCAGGAAATTCACAAGCTACACAGCATTGCTTAAAATTATGTGTGTACAGTAGTTCAAGTGAGCTTCACCTTTACTTTAGAAGTTTCTTTATAGACCCTCTTTGCAGTTAAAAAAATACACATTTTATGACATATTTCGACAGTAGCTCTAGTGGCATCTAGTGCCTTTTATTTAACTGTTATGATACATGTATTTCACAACTGAACAACTTTTAAGCTTGCTTAAAACTTTATTTTGAAGGCTGGAGTCGCTTACCGGACGTGTAATTGTTGATGGCGGAATATATCTTGATTCTGTTGAACACATTTCTCCTCCGTTTAGATATGTGCTTCCGTTTCTGAAAATACTTTCCGGCTGCGGTACTTCAGTGTAGTTGTAGTTCTTTTACATAACAAATATGTCCCCCGTTAAGGACTGGACCCGTGTGTCATAAAGATTTTGCCTGTCTTACAAAAATAGAATCCTACAATAACGCATTTGACCACAACAACAGGTCTACTTCAAAACCTAAAGTTTCAGTCCCCTGTCGCACTAAACAGTAGACACCATATAAATGTAGCTTTTATGGAATATTTACATGCCAAAGGATACAAATCTACCACTTTCATTATTTTTTTTTATCTTTCATTGAATCCAGTATACTGTACAATGTAGTAACCTACATTGTCTACAGTAGGGACAGCAAAAACGACACAAATATAACAAAGTAGAACATATACATAGAAAATATAAAATGTTGTTCTATGTCTTATGGCATTTTATTTCATTCTCTGCATTTCACAAAATAATGAAAACTAGCTTTTTATTACAGAGTTGCAGAACCAAACTCTTATTTCCCTCTTGTAACGGTATGACAACCTATATCAATAACAATCTTTACAAAGACACAGCTACATAGATAGATGTACCGTTTATGAATAAAACTGAAAACCACTGTGTATTTTTATATGGGACTGGGCATTTATGAATAGGAGAGCCTGGGACTCTGCGTCACCTCATTGGTCCGTGACACTACAGTGTGCCTCCCCTCAGGCCGCCCCACAGCCAAAGCCA